GAATAGACAGAGAATATCTTATTGCCGCAGTATGAATGCATGGTACCCCATATCTTGAATACAGCACCCAGATGTGGTTACCTCATCTCAAAAAAGATACTTTAGCATTGGAAAAAGTTCAGAAAAGGGCAACAAAAATGATTAGGGGTTTGGAACAGGTGCCATATGAAGAGAGATTAAAAGGCTGGGACATTACAGCTTAGAAAAGAGGAAACTGAGGGGGGATGTGATAGAGGTCTATAAAATCATAAGGGATGTGGAGAAAGTGAATAAGGGAAGTTACTTACTTGTACCTATAATATAAGAACTAGGGATCAAAAACAAAATTAATATGTAGTAGGTTTAAAATAAACAAAAGCAAGTATTCCTTCATGCAGCACACAGTCAACCTGTGGAACTCCTTGCCAGAGGATGTTGTGAAGGCTAGGACTTTAACAGGGTTCAAAAAAGAGCTAGATAAATTCAGGGAGCTTAGGTTCATCAATGGCTATTAGTCAGGATGGGTAGAAATGGTGTCCCTAGCCTCTGTTTGTCAGAAGCTGGGAATGGGTGGTGAGGTGGGATTGTTTGATGGTTACCTATTCTGTTCATTCTCTCTGGGGACACCTAGCAATGGCCACTGTCAGAAGACAGTATATTGGGCTAGCTGGACCTTTGGTCTGACCCAGTATAGCTGTATGTTCTTATAAAGCTCAATAAACTCAAAATGGAGCTCTATGCAACCAACAAATTACATGGTCTTCGGGGGCATAATATACCCAAAAGTTAGGTATGGTTCATGTGCAGACTGCAGAGTACTCACCTATTTAGGAGACAGATCAGTCCATTGACCAAGGGGGAAAAGTCAACTTCATGATGGGTAGCTGTAGAGATCACTACATATATGCAATTCCTCATTCTGGGGTTTATCCTCTTTTCATTGCTTGGGTTTTCAGGTATCCTATGTTGCCATTGTGTAATCAATTTGAGAGCAGGATATGGTATTGTGGTACTTAGTGAACATGTTCTCACTTGTAATTTGGGAGAAACAGACATCCTTAAATTGGGAGAAGGGAATTTGGAGCCACTATCGTCCTCAATCATTGTTTCATGGAAAGTGGGGAAAGTAGGCTCCCTCCCTCAAATACCACTAGGAGAAGGGGAATCTTATGATTTTATGGGTTGCAACACCTCTATTTGGCTGACACCCTTCGGACCATCAGCAAGGAAATAAAATGTTGCAGCCAAATATGCCTTCTTGCTTTTAATTCCTCACGCAAGTTAGAATCTGCATACTATGGGAAGACAATGGCAGAAACACTCAGAGTATCCCACCCATCATTCTCATGATCATAGTAGCTGTATACGGCAAGACAACAGATAAGTATATGAAATCAAACTCCATTGAAATAGGCTAAGTCTAAGCAGTCATGTAAGGGTTTCATTATTGAGTCCAATCTGAGCAGCAGTAACTTCTGCAACCACAGAGTCCAAAGTTTGATAGTTCTCTGTGGTAATAGAGACAATTTTGGAAAGAACAGAACACATGGAAATTATTTGGTGTACTGAAACCTCCTCTTAATACATATAACTCAGAAACCTGGAGGGGACCCTATGTAACAAACAATGGCTGTAAACTAGATATGATATGTTTCATGTTGCCTTTTTTAAATTGCTTATGGCATTTTGTGTTTGAGGTATGTGAGCAGTGACTTGGTTGTATCTAGAACTGTTTCTATGAATAATGCTAAATTTTGCCTCAATTTAATTTTAAAGAACTACAGATACGGAAAATAAATAAACATACATACAATTGTATGCTAGTTTTCTAACCATTTTTTAAATCAAATAGTGCAGTACTCCATGCCTCCAAAAGCAGTAAAAGTGTAAGCCTGTGGTTCATTGAAGACAATTTTTGCCAGTTTCTTTGCATCTGTATTTTTATTCAGTACATTGTAAAAGAGGTAAATTAGATTGTACATTTCTAATGATAAAGTTGAAAAACAGTGACGAGTATTGGAATGGGAGAGCTGTCCTGAAGGAATAATTAACAAGGAAAGTTCAGTTAGCTATCGACTGAACAAACAAGTACAACCATAACAGGACATATACTGTATAGTTCACAAGCAAACGGAAATGTGAATTGTGAACTGACAGTTCTATATTTCATAATACATCTATCTCCCAAAATGCTTCTGCTTCATATTATGGACCAGTAATCACTTCCATTGAAGTTAATAGCACTGTGTGATTTACACTACTTCAGAATCTGGGCCAATATATATTGGTACAAGTGACTATGTACAGGGTATGAAAGGATAGTAAGAAATATAACACAGAAGGAACACAAGTGTGGCAAAGGCTATTCCATGTGATGTAGCTTATAGGTAATATATTAATGGATAGAGAAACTCCCCCAAGGTTTAAAGGTTAATTTAAGGGATTTATTGTTAGGGCACGTCTACACAGCAGGGCTAAACTCAAAATAAGCTACAGAACTTGAGGTACGCTAATTGTGCAGCTTAAGTCGAAATAACTTATTTCAACTCTCAGCACTGTCTACAAAGCAGTTATTTTGAAATAGAATACTCTTCCTCTGACTTCCCTTACTCCTCATGAAATGAGGCTTGCAGAAGTCGCAGTAAGAAGCCCATTACTTCAAATTTATTTAGAAATAATGGGCTTGCTGTGTAGACACACACTACATTATTTTGGAATAACTGACATTTCTCTGAAACAACGCTGCTGTTAACGCATAGCCCTAGATGGCAGCACTGAAGCAAAACTCTTGAAAGAAGACAAATTCAGACCTTGTGTAAATAGCAAAAACTCCTATCAACCCAGGGTTGAATTTGTCCATCTGACCAACTTTGTGAAACTGGTTTGTCTTGTGTCTGTGACTTTATACAATGCTGTAAACAGATCCATCATTTTCAAACATGACAACACTTCTAAGCATCACTAAGGGTACATCTAGACTACATGCCTCTAGATTAGGCATGTAGATTAGGCATGTAGATTAGGCTACCATTCTTGTGTAGAGACTCTGGTTAAATTAGTCTAATACAAATATTTCAGAAATGCTTACTGTACAATAAAGAAGTATCAGAGACAAACAGAATCTATTTACAATAAGTAACTTAGGGTACGTCTAGACTACATGCCTCTGTCGCCAGAGGCATGTAGATTAGGCTACCAGGCATAGGAAAATGAAGCAGCGATTTAAATAATCGCCGCTTCATTTAAATTTACATGGCTGCCGCACTGAGCCGACAAACAGCTGATCAGCTGTTTGTCGGCTCAGTGCGGCAGCCATGTAAATTTAAATGAAGCGGCGATTATTTAAATCGCTGCTTCATTTTCCTATGCCTGGTAGCCTAATCTACATGCCTCTGGCGACAGAGGCATGTAGTCTAGACGTACCCTAAGTTACTTATTGTAAATAGATTCTGTTTGTCTCTGATACTTCTTTATTGTACAGTAAGCATTTCTGAAATATTTGTATTAGACTAATTTAACCAGAGTCTCTACACAAGAATATTAGACATTTTTATTATTGTGGTCATTTTTACAATCATATAGTAATACATGTATGTGCAAATTCTGTATGTTGCATTACTATAGTTTATGAGGTGTGACATTCAACATGTTAAGATCAAAGTTTACGTGATGGTAAATGTGAACAAATTATGTTTTGTTGACTATTAGGGGAACTATGGTGATTTTATTATATTTTCTTATAAATTCAAAGTTCACAACATAATATTGATCCATTTTCTAGTCTGGTTTGTACATAGTCTTTATCTTCCTCATAATGGATCATTTTAACAGATATTTTAGAAAAATTTTCATAATTAAGAAACATTTTAGATTAATTTTATTAATAATAATAACAATCTTTTTCTGCTTTGCAAAGTATTGCAATGTGTGTCAGCGAGAGAGAGAAGAGCACATATGGCAAAACAATATTTGTATTAATGGTTGCTTTTATTTCTAGTAAAAGTGATTTTTTTCTAGAAAAGAAAGTGATTGCCTTTTCAAAGGTTGCAAACTTGACACAGTGACAAGCTATTTGATTATGTACTGGCTAGTTCAAGAAACACCTTCAGACTGTGCATATACAGCAGAAACTGAGCATATATCTCAGGCTCTTACACAAGATTTTTCTCTCACACAAATGCACCCCCTTGCTGCCTGCTTCTCTCTGTGACACACGCATAAGCATTCTCTCATTCACTCTCACTGCACAGCACCCAAAAAAGAAAGTAATAACTACAAAAGAATCTTGAAGATAAACATTCTCCAAGTGTTTAATGAACAAACTTTCAGTTGGCTTATGTGAAGATTTCTAAGCTTTTGGTTATAAGTCAGGAAATAAGGGGAAAAATACAGTTTGTCCTGAGAGGCCAGGGTTCTAAATGCCCCTTGTTTCATTAGATATATCCGTGCTGTTCTTTTTCTGGTACAAGTCAACACTTACTAAAAGAACAAACCTAACAAGAAAGGGGTTTTTTATATTTAAAATAAAGCATTTTTGTACATATGCTTTGCTAGTCTAGATGTCTGTATTGTGTAAGATGTATCTGTATTGCTTTCAGATGCTTAATTTTTTATGTTTATTTTAGTCCTATCTTTTGAAACAGTCTCAGTAGGTTTTTCTGTGGGTAACATTATGACATTTGATAAGATGATTGATTATGAAGTGTTGAGAGCCGTACCATGTGATCATTTATTTTTAAATACACATTTATGCTAGCCAATGTTTAAATCTCTTGCAGTAATACATAAGAGATGTGAAACATAAACCTTGAGTCTGATCAAATCTGATGCCTCTGGAAATAGAGTTCCACAGAACTGTGGTCTTAAAATAACAGATTTTTGCTGAGACTGGAACTTTACAGTGATAAATATTATATAAAAATTATGGTCCATCTTTGGTACAAAATAAAAAAGAAGACATACAGCTGTGATGCAGAGGAGCTAAATGTCTTTGATGATGATATCTTTCTTTCTCTGTGCAGGTGCCTGTGTCAGTGGCCATGATGACTCCCCAGGTGATCACCCCTCAGCAAATGCAGCAGATTCTCCAGCAGCAAGTGTTGTCTCCACAGCAGCTTCAAGCACTTCTTCAGCAGCAGCAAGCAGTTATGTTACAGCAGGTAATGTGGGTTACCTGCTTCGGACTGTTACCATAACCCAAGGAATTTTCTTAGGTATTAACGATGCTTGCATAGGTTTGCTTTTCTGGTATTTCATATTTTTTTGCTAAAAAAAATGTTAAAATGAGTACATAAGTTCCTAGTCTTCAGATTTCTTTCTGTGACTGCAAAAACGTATCAATCTACAGGCAAATTTGAAACATTAAATACTGTGTATAAAATAACAGCAATGGCAGATGCATTATGAACACTGAGCAAATCAGTATTTAAATTTTCAAGTGCTTAAGCACTTTTGAATTGTAGACTTGCCAAAGGAAGTGTAAACAGACTTGCAGATAATTGTTTCTTTAAAATTCATAACACTTTAGTACTCCCTTTAGTCATATAAGTGGAATGCGGTTATGAAATTTGAACTTAGCAGCTTGTTTCATTAAAGGTGAAACTAATTCCGTTGTTTGTTTATTTTCCTTCCAAAAATTTGTTCCAATAGAAAGATTAGACAGAGGAGGTATGATTGCATTTCCCTTAACACAAAACCTAGCAGACAAACCAAGAATCGATGGAAACTCATTGTTACAATAAAGACAGTGTCAGTGCTCAGTACATCAATATAGCACAGAGTATAATTTCAACTATAATTTTGGGCGTGTACTTAATCATTCTAGAGAAAATAATGTGTCTGTTAATCTTATTTCTTTCATGTTTAAACACTTTGATATCTAGTCTCATGATCATTACAGGCAATTCACCTTCAATTGTAAATCTGGCATCCTGCTGCCCAGGCTGACAGATTAATTAACTTTTTTCTCTACGAAACAGACAATTTTGTTTGGTCTAACTGACTTCTTGTGAGTGGTAGAGTACTGCTTCTAATTGGCTATATGAAATATATGAGGAATTTAGGTGTAATAATCTGGGGAGTTAATTTGGCTCTGCCACATTCCCTTTAGGATACAGATTTTCTGTACCTTTTGTTTAGGATATTTTGGAATTTGCACTGAAAATTTTCAGAGCCGCCTTGGGAAAAAGTGTACATAGATCTGCCTCTTCGAATCAAACACGTTTTTTTGTGAGGTGAATCTTAATGGCTATGCTACCATATGCCAATGTAGATGAGTTTAGGAGATTTATAATACTTGAAACTTTTGCCTTTATTTATTAAAGTCAAAATGGTTTATTCAGCAACAACTACAAGAGTTTTACAAGAAACAGCAAGAGCAGTTACATCTTCAGCTTTTGCAGCAGCAACAACAGCAGCAGCAACAGCAACAACAGCAGCAGCAACAACAACAGCAGCAGCAGCAGCAACAGCAGCAGCAGCAGCAGCAGCAACAGCAGCAGCAGCAGCAGCATCCAGGAAAGCAAGCAAAAGAGGTAAGATCTGTGAAACTCACCGATGCTTAATAGTTTTGGCTGGAGGAGAAGCAGAGAAGGAACAAGAATAATTTTAGCTCTTTTTTGATAATGAGGTCTTTCTATCCAAAATATTTTCTTGTATCTTTTTCCCTGAGATTTATAACATTGACAGCAGAACTCTCCCAACCACCCCCCTTTTTGGGATTTGAGGATTACCACCTAGTACTGCTGTCATCTACTGTTCACTAATGAATCACAGTGTGGAAAGAGCAAATGGAGTGGTGGACAAAGTACTGATTATCTTGCATTCACAGAGAATCTGTTTTGGTGAGGGCACCTTACTTTCCTCTGTGGCACAGCTCAGAGAGCATGCAAATTTAGCCCATTGTTTAAAAAAAAATAGTGGAGCACAGATTTCAAAGTCGCAGGCCCCTGATTAATGAACTGCTACCATAGGTTTGAAGTGGCGAGGAGAAAGTTACAGTTTGATGTGCTCATAAATCAACCTGACAAGCTGGCTTCTCAGGCCTAGCTTGCACTTGTCAGAAAACGGCATCAAATATAAACATAACACAAACAAAACATGTTGAAGTAGTTAAATTGATCAGCAGGTATCGTAGACGTTGTCTTCAAGCTGCCCATTATGCAAACGTACAGGAAACAGTTCTGACCTCCTGAGGCTTTGTTTCTGTTTGGATTTGTGAATAGAATTTCAGACAGCCATCAACTACGGAATAGAAATTGCTCCCTTATTTCTCCGGAGGCTCTGGGCAATCCACATGACTTGCTCCATTATGCAGTCTGTTTTCCAGTGAGTGCATCAGAAGTTTCTCTTTTCCCCAAACTAAAAAGGAAAGGTCTTCCACAGCAGCTTGTCTTTCTCTGACATGTGACTGCCTTCTTATACCCCCTGAGTCTAAAAAACTGCAGTTTGTCTTGTAATGCCTCACAAAATTGGAAGTTATACTTTTACTTATAATAGGACACTTCTTTGTCTTGAATGTGATACTGGTTTTAATATATTCCAACAAGAGAAGAGAGTGAGCTAACAGGCCAGTGAAATGAAGGCAACATCCCAGTTTGCTAATAGATCACTTGAGACCACATTCATGGGCCACTGCGGACCAAACTTATTCAGTCGGAAAAACTGAATGGAACAGTTGAATCACAAACTGTTACGCTTTTAGCATAGATATATTTGTTATCATCTGCCATGAGCTGGGTATTTTTTTTTATAACTGAACAGCTGTTACCTACTTTCCCTTGACCCTTTTCTGCAGCGTATTATTAATTGTATTTTGCTTTTCCCCCCCAACAACCTAGTAGTTTGGAATAAAAATAATGGGAAATTTCAAATGCTTCCCTTGTCAGAGTATTCTACAAATAACATTATTATTTAATAACTGAGATGAAAGGGGAAATGAGTCAAGTTTACAGATTCTTCTTGCAGCCTTCATTGCAGACTTTATTCTCTGCTGTGTTGTTTGTTGTTTTTCCCCCCTAGCAGCAGCAGTTGGCGGCCCAGCAGCTTGTCTTCCAGCAGCAGCTCCTCCAGATGCAACAACTCCAGCAGCAGCAACATCTGCTGAATCTTCAGCGTCAGGGACTCATTTCTATCCCACCTGGCCAGTCTGCTCTTCCTGTCCAGTCTCTGCCACAAGGTATAAAAACAGTATACGACGCCACTTATTCCTAATTCACAACTTTTTTTTAAATCATTCTATTTTGGCCTGAACTTCAGAAGTTTCCTTTTATGGCATTTAAGCCTCACTTTAATAATAAACTGTGATTTTTAATATTATTTCACTGCCTAGTTTTCTTGAGGCTGATAAATTTTACTACATGCTTTTTACTTGAGAAATCTGCTTTTTGAGTGATTTTCCTTAGGTATAAAATGCATATTTATTAGTCTTATGTGCTGAAAACAATTTCTAAGAGCAACACAATTCAAGCACCATTGATTTACACTGAAGAACTACAGAAAACTGATTTAGTGAGAGAGTAATCACTCCATTTAACATGAGTGAACAGATATAAGGGATAGTGGGGAATTGATATAAAAAAAAAGGCTGGTTCCAATCTTAAATTATTTTAAAGAAAAAATAGTAGTCTGTTTCATGTAATTAAAAATTGGTTTCATGCTAAATTCCTGGCTATTTGTTGTGATTTGTTAGAGAGGATCTTTATATTTCAGGATTCCTTTTTCGTCATCTATAGAAAAACTTAAATACAACAATTTTGTTAGCAGGAAAATAATGTCACTAATGTAGAACTGGAAAACATTCTTTAACCTTTGTCAGCGGGACCAATATTTTTCAATGCAAAATATTAATGGAAAATCTCCACCACTGTCACTAATACATTAATGATTCAGTATTTAGTTGTTTAAGAGAAAAAGGAGGGCTCAGATGCATGAAAGAGAAATTTACTTACAAATAAATACTGTGGGCTCTTTAGAAAGGAAGGCCAGAGATTTCACATGTTAAGAACTCTATTCCACCATTACCTTGTTAGCACATAATTTTAGTTTTTGCTGACATTGCAGAAGAGAAGTGAGTTAGAGCTCTCCTTCATGTAAATTATATATCATCGGCTTTTTAGAACACTGATCCTGCAATGAGTTCTGTGTGGGCTGTGTCCAAGTAGAACAGCCTGGGCAAATTATGGCCCGCGGCCAAAAAGCCACCAGATCCAGCCGGTGGGCACTGCAGAGGGAGCCCCAGGAAGACTCTCCACTTGCGTTGTCCCACCTTTACGCCACTCAGAAATGCGGCTGCTGAGTGGTTTCGCTTTAAAATCTGTGAGCCCAGAGTGGAGAGGGAAAGGCTTTAGGAACTGCTCCCTCCCCAAGCACAATCCCATTGGCCAGTTTTTTTACTAGAAATTGTCCCTTGGGATCTGTTGGTTTCAATAACAGGCAGCCAAGAAGCACCATGCTCCCTCTCCTCCAGGGCTTTTAGTTATTAACAGAGAACATGGCTGCAGCCTGTGTGGGGATTGGGCAGGCAAAGAGGCTGCTTCATGAAAGTTTTGGGATGCTGGCTAGTAAGTCTCCTGGCCAGAGCCTGCTGCTAGCACCCCAGTCCCTCCCTCCCCCAAACCACTGCCCCTCACTCCTGTCCCATACTCCACATACCCAAATTCTCTGCCCCCCCCCTCTTGCACCCATATTCCCTCCCAAATATGGCATCCCAATACCCTGTCCCTGATCACAGTCCCCTCTTGTCCTAGCTCACAACCCAAACCTCTGCAGCTCAATCTCCTACATCCCCTCCTCTAACCCAATTCCCTGCCCTAGGTCACAATCCAACCCCCTGCACCCAATCCAGTGCCTCAGGTCACAACCACCTCCTTCACTCAAGTTCCTTCCCTTACTGCATGCTTTCTTCTGCACCTAATCTATATCCCAGACCCCGCACCTCCTCCATTAATATAATGGAAGTGTGGGCCTCCCCCCATCAAAAATTATTGCCCACCCGTGAAGTAGCCTGCTTGATTTATGCAAGATTCTATCCAGACATAAGGGATTATCCATAAGGTACAGATAGCAAGCCTGGAGACTCAGAAGTTAGGTGAGCACAGGAAGAGTATACTTCATATAGATAAAATGGGGCAAGAATAATGAAGGATAAGTGATAATCTACATATGTCCCAGCATTGCGTGCTGTCTCAGTTTTTTTGTGAATTTTGTGTTCTGGCCATTTGGCATTTTGGAATCATAGGGCTGGAAGAGACCTCACAAGGTCATCAAGTCCAATTCCCTGCTAACAGCAAGACCAATCCCAATTAAATCATCCCAGCCAGGGCTTTGTTAAGCCAGGACTTAAAAACCTCTAGGGATGGAGATTGCATCACCTTCCTAGGTAACCCATTCCAGTGCTTCACCACCCTCCTAGTGAAATAGTTTTCCCTAAAATTATTTTCTTAAAACTCCATGTCAGAGAGTGCTAACCTTGAGGAGGATCAGACACCAGCCTACCTATGACACCTCTGGTAAGGAGAATGAACCAATACTCCTGTGGATAGTTAATTTTCTAAGAAGTTGTCTAAGTAGTTGGATGGTAGTTAATTAGGTAAGGAGCACTTGAGCATAATAAAGGCTTGTGAGTGCTGAGTCAGGAAAGATCTTGGGGAGGGATTCTCTTTGGGGGTAGGGATGTTAAAATTAGATTAATCAACTAATTGAATAGTCGATGGAATTTCCATCGACTATTTGAGTAGTCAGTAAGGGCACTTCCATTTTGAAATGTAGCTAGAACCTGCTGGGCTGTTGCTACATTGAAAGGCGGCCACACGGCGAATCAGCTTTTATGCTAGCTCCCACCAGCCACTGCTTTCCCCCCCACCTTGTTGCCTCTTTCCGATAGCAAGGGGGGCAGGAAGCGATTAGTCTACTAGTGTGTCGACTATCCAGTAAGGTTTTGCTTACTGGATAGTCGACTAGTTGATTAGTCACTTACATCCCTATTTGGGGGACCTAGTTAGGAAGCAGTATCTTCTTGGAGAGCAGAGGCTCATGGAGAGAAGGAATAGCACCAGAGAGAAAGTGTTCCCAGGCAAGGAACTGGAACAGCCCAGAAGACCAATCTGTGTGTGGAACATTTTGGAGAGTTCCCAGGGACTGGTCCAGCAAAGACTGATGTAGTTTCAGAGGGAAACTGGTATCCAGCTGAATGTCTAGCAGATGTGCACACTGTAGGGAGGGAGCTCAGCTTGAGTGTGCTCTGAGGTTAGAGGAGCAAGAAACAAGACTGATTAACGCAGGGGAACAGAGTATTGGCGTGTATAGGTGACTGATGCTTTTGTTTATATTTTCACATTATCCTTTTCTATTAAATAATATCATCTGAAAATGAGGGTTTTTTTTAGTATAGACAGGCTGGCCATCAGTTATTTCTACTCTAGGTGAGAGGAAACTGATGCAGCGCTGTGCCTGACTGCAGGGATACACCAGAGTAACTTCCATGGCATTATATCCAAGGTTGTGAAGACAAGTGATTAGATGTAAGGCCAGATATAAATCAGGGTGACCAGTTTACAAGAATTTGTGTCATTTTGAAATTTCTTATGAACCAGAATTTAAAAAACAATTGTTTCAGAAACATGAAAGGAGCCAGTTGACTGTGAGTCTTGAAGCCCTAGAGTCTCTGGAACTCAGTGTAGTCTGCATGGAAGGAATGTCACAGAGCTGCAGACCAGGCAGGGAAGCCTATCCTAAGATTTATAAGCTCCCTACTTAGCAGCAAGCCTCAATTTGAATCAGGACTCCCAAGGCTTCAGGGCTTCCTGCCAAAGAACTGAGAGTCTGGAATACCCGAGAATGCCTCCTCCAGGCATGTCTCCCAGGGCTTCCAGTTTCCCAGCTTCACAGTATGGAGCCTAGAAATTGCAGCATAGTGGAGTTTCCCCAGTACAGTAGACCCTCCAAGATGAGGTTCCTGACTCCAGAGCAAAACACATGGCAGGGCTGCATGATATCCCACCAAACAAACTGACAGTATTCCATTTGAACCTTGCCTGAGATTTGGTGAAATGTTTTTCAAATATATCTCATTTTTGTGAGAAGTTTTGGCAGTCAACAAATGGCATTTCCTGGTTAAGCCTTAATTACATAACATAAGAATGGCCATACTGGGTCAGACCAAAGGTCCATCCAGCCCCGTACCCTGTCTGCTGACAGTGGAGAATGCCAGGTGTTCCAGTGGGAGTGAATTGAACAGGTAATGATCAAGCCATCTCTCTCTCTCCTGCCATCCATCTCCACCCTCTGACAAACAGAGACTAGGGACACCATTCCTTACTCATGCTGGCTAATAGCCATTATGGACTTAACCTCCATGAATTTATCTAGTTCTCTTTTAAACCTGTTATAGTCCTAGTCTTCACAACCCCTACAGGCATGTAGTTCCACAGGCTGGCTGTGTGCTGTGTGAAGAAGTATGTGCTTTTATTTGTTTTAAACCTGCTGCCCATTAGTTTCATTTGGTAGCCTCTAGTTCTTAAATTATGGGAATAAACAAGTAAATAACTTTTCCTTATTCACTTTCTCCATACCACTCATGATTTTATATACCTCTATCATATCCCCCCTCAGTCTTCTCTTTTCCAAGCTGAAAAGTCCCAATCTTTTTAATCTCTCCTCATATGGGACCCGTTCCAAACCCTAATTATTTTAGTTGCCCTTCTCTGAAACTTTTCTAATGCTAGTATATCTTTTTTGAGATGAGGAGACCACATCTGTATGCATATTCTGTACATATATTCTCCGTCTTATTCTCTATCCCTTTTTTAATAATTCCTAACATCCTGTTTGCTTTTTTGACTGTAGCTGTACACTGTGTGGATGTCTTCAGGGAACAATTCACAATGGTTCCAAGATCTTTTTCCTGATTAGTTGTAGCTAAATTAGCCCCCATCATATTATATGTATATTTGGGTTATTTTTTTCCAATGTGCATTACTTTACATTTATCCACATTAAATTTCATTTGCCATTTTGTTGCCCAGTCACTTAGTTTGGTGAAGTGAAATGTTTACTTACTACATTACTTACTTACCTATAACATAAGAAATAAGTGTCACCAAGCGAAATTAATAAGCCGCAGGTTTCAAACAAACAAAAGGAAGTACTTCTTCACACAACACACAGTCAACCTGTGGA